ATAATATTCTTAGATACCATTTAATAAATAGTGTTACATAAAATTTGAACTTTTCGATTATCGGATATAGTCATCTTTAGCAAAAAAAATTAGTAAAACTTTCATGCACTTCAGATCGCTGTCTCCAAATTAGCTCTCTGAATTTTATTATTTTATATACAATTATAAGAAGTCCAATATTTATTTCTTGTTACTCTTTAGGAAATATAACAATTCCCTAACAACAGACCTCCAGGGGATACGTCCTGAGGATGTCCAAAGGACGTCCATGTGTTCTTTGAACATCCTAAGGACATCCTCAGGATATATCCCGGATAAAGTGTGTTATTAGGGTTGTCGCACATCCCGTTTTTTATTTTAATATTTTTTTTTGTTTATCATTTACTTTATCAAACTATCAAAGCCGTTCTACAACAGCTCGTAGTATCGTACCCTTCGAATCCTGCGCACTTTGCAGGCGGGAGCGTATGACCGCGGGCTGTGGGTCGTAAGACCCCGAGGGCGCGAAACCGCGAGATAATTCGAAATCGTGCGATCTACGGCGAACTGGAATGAATGTTGGAAATTAATTTAATTTTTCGTTTGACCTCTAATTTAAGAGCGTTAAAGAAACCGCGAATGGAAGCGCGCGGAGAGATCCGACAAATGCAATTGGTTGAAACGATTGTAATGAAGAAACTTGGAACGGGATTGCCACACTTTTCAGTCAACTTACTACTAAAAGCGAAGATTTAAGATTCATGTGGCTTTTCGAACAATCGCACTTGATTGAAATGATGAGCTCAAAGCAACTTAGATTATGGGATTCCCATACTTTTGATCCGGGAATAGTCACCTGATGTTTTTACACCTCAACAACGAAAAAATGTATTATTATTGTAAAATATTGTTTTATATGGATACTTTTTAGCATATTTTTAAATCTTTTTTAGTAATAGCTATTCTTTAGGAATCTTTAAATATGCAATTCCACGAAACTACAAAAAAGCGTTACATTAATTAAATTTTTTTATTTTTTAGAAATAAATGTCATATAATAGTTTATAATTAACGTACTTATTTTGTTTAATATTTGTTTGATTTCAATTTACTTTTTTCAAAAAATTATGATTAAATTCATATCCATAATATTTTCAAATATTAATAAATGTCGAAACATCACAAGAGTTTACGTAAAACAGAAAAAAATGAGATGATACTCTCGGAGTAACTTCACCGAAAGTAAGATTTGCCGAGAATTGATGGACCAATATCAAATTTTTGAACAACTGCATTCGACTATCAAATAACTGTTCCAAAAGGTCTTCGAACAAGAATGTCAAATTTTTAATTTAATTTCACTGAAAGTGAAGATTTAAAAATCCGAATTCAAGAGACAATTAAGATCTGCGTGAGTCTTTCGAATAGTCATACTTGGTAGAGAAATACAAGGCATTTCGAGGTAGGTATTCGGGACTTTGGCAAAATAAGGCTTGCCGAAATATGTACGAATTTCACGCGTGCGTCCGGGGGTCCGTTTATTACTTTTCTCGGAACAACGACGTGAAGACAAGGCCGATGAGTCGCGGAAAGTGGCATAACTTTCCCTTTTAAAGCGCGCTTTAAATATGACGTGCTTTATATACCTATATTCCACGAGGCCCAGACGGACCCTTGCGTCGTGCGAGCACATGTCAATTAAAGCCATGTGACACGGAGATTTTTCATTTCACTTGGCAACTCACAAGGCCATGTCGCACAGTCCCTTGGAACTCAACACAAAAGAACCTGACTTTCCTGACCGTCGGTCTCGCCCGCTTCAATTGCAAATCAATTCTCGGCCAAAATCTTTTATTAAGGGGACTCTCATTAAAGAGAGGCTCTCGTTGAAGTTAAAAGCGGCCGCTTCAGGGACACCCTGTACATTCGTGTTCGCGATACTTTTTCTTTCTCGCAATAATTCATCGATCGAACTTTAGACGAATCCCTTGGGCGAATTTTGGATGTATAATGGCGCAAATTCGCGATACAAGTATTTCGAGATATATAGACGTATCTCAATAGATTCGCGATCGCGCGACGTGGATACGTCGGAAATCGTAGATCGGCAAACGGACACGTTGCCGTTGACGGGGATCAAGGATCGAGAGAGATAAAGGGACAAAAGAGATGAGAGAGAGAGAGAGAGAGAGAGCACTTGCGTAATCGTGGTCGGCGCATATGTGTGCCGATCGCCCGCGGCGAACCGAGACCTTGCCGACGTGCATGAGAACTGGGCCGCGGTGCGTCGTGTCGGGACTCGGGGCACGCATCGTATATTCGTATCCCGGGCCCAACCGACTTAGACGAGTCTGACGCCGTCAAGTCTGCGGAGTCTCGTATGCCGGATCAATCCGAAGGATTCCGTGACGCGTTCGCGAAAAAAGGAACGCGTCGTCTGGTTCTGGGATAATTACCCGACGTATCCAGGAATTTTTATTAAATCGTGGTCGGCGCGTTTTAATGTATCCCTCTGAATATTATTTGTAAGATAATTGAGTACTTTCCCGTTTAAGTATATAAGTATATCGCGAAAGAGATCCAAGTAGCACACAGCGTTGTTCAATAAAAATTTCTTTTCTACGATAGGATGTGCTGATATCCAGGTAGAACACAATTATATCATTATGACATCGAAATGATGTTAAAACGACTTCAAAATGATCGTTAAAAGTCACTTTCCAATTATTTATGGTTCATTTTAGTGTCATTTTAATTGACATTATAACTTGTTGTTCCGCTTGGACAATCCTGAAAATGATCAACGCAAAATGATACTCCCCAAATAGCGTAGCAGCGCTTACAAAGTGTCAACCAAGCGCTAAAAAAGCGCATATAGTCGCTTTTTTTTAGCGTTTTGCAAGCGCTACTGTGCTATTTAGGGAGTATCATGGTTACATTGATCATTTTCAAGATTGTTCAAGCAGAGAACAATAAGAATTATTAATATAATATATTATAGGACCGTATATATGATGACATAAACTATAGAAATCAAAGCCTTAAACGGTCTAGCTGGATCTTAATGCTTGTATGATTCTTATGTGAATTTATACTACCGCAGTAATATCACGAGTTAAATTGACTGGCAATTTAACAAATTTTTGATGCTTCGAAACGATCTTGAATAACATATTAAAATCTGTAAATAATTAATTCTTATTGCGAAAAATATTACCTTTTAATCTAATAAGAATTATAATAACGTCAATTAAAATGACATTAAAATAAATTATAAATGATTGAAAAGTGACTTTTAACGATCATTTTATTGGAGTCGTTTTGACATAATTTTGATGTCATGATGATATAATTGTGTTCTACTTGGATATCGGTACATCCTATCGTAGAAAAGGAATTTTTATTGAACTAGCGTGCCAATGCATTTCGTCACATATTATTTGCAAAGTAATCGATTAATTGTTGCGTGCACATAAGTCTAATGCGACTTATATCGTGTACCGTAATTGTATTTGAACGACGATATTATTAATGCAAAATGTTTGCGTCAATATCAAGTGGAAGTTTACGAGCAATTTGCGAAGTGAGTTCACGAGCAGGCTCAGGTAATTTCTGTGTGCAAATTGTGCATATGAATTAGATCGATTCGCGTTCATCTACCGCGACCACCATCTGCTATTGATTAGCAACCACATGCAATGCCGCAATAAATCAAACATCGATTCTCTAAATGTACTATGTTTATGCTCTATAATTTCAGAAATTGTGTGCATTAACAAATATAGCAAGACACCTCGCAGATGCACTCATATGTAACTATCGTCGAACCTTTAATTATATTTTTGTTTATCTACTCTATCGTTCTATTTTTCATTTTATTGTTTGTATTTATTTAAATACAATGTCATATTATAGTGTGATATTTTTACTCACAAAATAATTTTAGAGACATTCCTATAAAAATTACTCATCTACCTACGAGAAGGTGAGGTTGTCCTCGAGTTGACTTCGAATTAGCTCTGCGTAATGACACGTCTTAAGAGGAATTTACAAGCAGAGAATTTATATACACAATTCAGGATTGTCAAAACAACGCGACGATATTGATCGCTGAGAAACTGTCCGAAATAAATGCGAGAAATGAATTTTGTTTCTTTCCTTCTCTTTTTCTTTCTTCTCTGTTTGTGGCGGGCGTGGGATGTGATTATGAAAGAGGCTTTAGAAATTTTCTCACGGCTCGGGTTTTATTAGCCGCAAGCTCGCTAATCGAGAAGTGGATCATAAACCGCTCTCGCAATAATTTCTAATGGAAGATACAACGATAGCGTGACAACCGTAACCATTATCAACCAAGTAACAATTAATCTTTGAAGTTGCATTGTAAAGGTACGTAAAGAACGCAATGTAAAAATTATGATAAAAGGATCGTATTTTTAAATCCTGATCTGTGCTTTTAATTTCTGCGAATTAGCTCATATTCAGAACGCGCTTTTATAAATGCAAGCTTTTATGTCTGAAATTCCATAATATATGTGTAATGTATGAACTATATGCTAAATCTGCCAAATACAGCCAGTATTATTATACTGACTGTATTGAGCCCCTTAAAAAAATTACATTATTATAAAAGTATATAAGAAACCATGATTAAAAAATATATTTCGTTATTTATTATTTATGATAACAAATAGCTTTTTCATTATAATTGAAGACATTGAAAGATTCAATGCAATGGTTTTAACGAGCTAAAAAAGTCTCGAGGAAAATGAATTTCTTTTTCTCCGAATACAAAAAATAATTCTCAATTAATTCTTTAAATCTTTGAAAAAATGCATTAGACCAATCAATAATGTAATTGTTACTAATATATTGTAATTTATTTATACATATTAATTAATATAAAATTTTAATTTTGTAATTCTCTTCTTTTTTATAAAATTTTACTTTTTACTTTTATAAGAGACAGAGGATGTGAAAAATTACAAAAATTTATTAACGATATTATATTGTTTCTATTTTAGGTTCTAGGTCCGATTTCTGGCTGTCACATAAACCCAGCTGTGTCAGTCGGTCTGTTAGTCAGCGGAAATTGCAGTTTTCTCAAAACCATCTGTTATACAGTCTGTCAGTGCTGCGGCGCTATAGCGGGTTCTGTTGTTCTTAAGGTACGTAATAAAAATTCAAAAGTTCGCCGTAATATCCGATCCATTTCTTTTTAAAAAATTGAGCAACTTAATCTACATATATATACACATATATATATGATAACTTTCAAATTGATTTCCATATCTCCTAAAAAAAATTCTTCAAATAAAAAGAAGAAATATTTAAAAACGATCGGATTACATAATGATTTAGATTTATCTTTCATTCATATTTAATTAATTAAGCCGTGAAAAAGATGATTGTAGCAACCTTCATCTTTATTATCATTTAAAATTTAATTTTTTTTATTTTACTTTTAAAACCAAATGAAATTGTTTAGAATTTAAATCACTGAGCATCACATTGCATAAGTTATGTAAAATACACTTCGGTAAGGTCATCGACGCATCGTGCGTTTGACATTTAAGCGCGCTTACGTTTCTTACACGCGCGTAATCACAATGATTGTCCAGCCGAAGCGTGAAATTGATCGTTGATAGCCTGTCATTTCGATTTGGTGCGGGACTTCGAAAGTGCCCCGTCTTACTCGTATCAATTAAATTGTCGTTATGCAAGGTCAAGGTTCGCCTTTCCTCCCCGGCTCCTCCGTACATCCGTTACATCAGAAACTGGTCGTGGTCGAGCCGGCCATCTGGATCGCGCGTGAGGGACAGCATATATATACATGTATATATATGTATAAATATAAACCGACATTAAATACTTCATTTTCATTTCTTATTGCTCTGCCATTGTAATCTAATTTATGGTAAAGGAGAAATATCTAATTATGAATGAGAGAAAATAGAGAATGATACCTCGTCATTCTTTTGCATCAATTCAACGATTAATTAGTGACATTATTAAAAAAAAGTTTGATTGTGAATTATTGCAAATGATTTGAAACCTGTATATTGCAGGCAATCTTATTTATTTATACATTGACTGTGTTCAGCACGAGGGGGTAACCACTTAATGTAATCGTGGGACAGAATCCTCGAAATCATTATAAAATTTATATTAAATCTCTATGTATAATCCGACAATTACATACGCAACCACGAGAAATCATTGTACAATATTAAATAAAATCGTATATTTTACCAAATTACTTCATAATAATGAAAAAAATTATTTGTAATCAAATGAAATCATGTAATCTGGGACAATATTTCAGCTATAGTGGTTATCCCCTCGGTTCAGCAGACTCAACAATTGAGTGGGCGCTTGCTGTTATTGATGTATTCTTCTAGATCATCTAATCAGACTTTTATGCCCGTTTCCACCAATGTAGATTAACTTTAATCTCTGGAATTAGAGAATTTAATCTTTAGAATTAGAAAAAGACGAAGAGTAAGTTGAACCGAGATTAAAGTTAATCTACGTTGGTGGAAATAGGCATTAGAGAATTTCAATCTATTAGAAACTACATGCACTGTAGAATACACTGCAGTTTCTGATAGGTTGAAATATTCTTATTCTCTATTCTCTATCTATTCTTTTGATGCGCAATCCTTCATTCAACTGTTGGATTCGTTGAACGCATCTTGATAATCATAAATCAAATTTCTCTTTTTTCCTATCACGATATCATTCGTCTAATCGAATTGTTCTTTCGTCCAGCTGCTTTTACCTAAAACGCAAGTCGCCCATGGCCTAGGCGCCACCGCGTTACACCGTGAAGTGACTGAAGCTCAGGGCGTAGGAGTGGAAATAATCATCACGTTCCTGCTGGTGCTCGTCGTGCACGCCGTCACGGATCCCAAGAGGACCGACGTGAAGGGTTGGGCCCCACTTGCGATCGGCTTGGCGATCGCGGTAGCTCATATGGCGGCGGTGCCCATCACCGGTAGCAGCATGAATCCAGCTAGGAGTCTGGGTCCGGCCGTGGTGGACGACAAGTACAAAGATCTGTGGATCTACTGGGTGGGTCCACTCATCGGCGCCGCTGTAGCCGGTGGCGTGTATAGAATGGGCCTCAAAGCCAACAAAGAGGACGAGGAGGGTTCGTATGACTTTTAAAAACGACCTCTGAATCCTACGGACGCGCAAGATGAGCTCTAACAATAATATCCTGCGAAGATCGAAGATTTCCCGAGTGTAAATAAAGAAGTAGAATTGTGAGGATAACGACGCGAAGATCGCGAAACGATTACGTGACCTTCGTTCGTTGTATTTAACAAGATCATGTTCGCGAAGAAATACGATTTGTAGGATAGATTTCTAAGTGGAATTAAACGCTGCGAATTAAAAGAGATCGAATTGTTAGATTCGACGTATTCAGGAAGGAAGATTATTTCGGTCAAAATTATTTTGTGTAAATCTATTAAACATTTTACCTTTTCTTTATATTCTATTTTATCTGGAAACGTATTATTTATATCATTTACATTCAATATCAGATGGTGCTGTCTAGATGTTTGTTTTTGTCTAGAGTCTTTTTTTTATTCAACAGATTTAAACCAGAAAAAGCCACTTAAGCCTATTCTACAGTGTACTCTTTGTTTCCTGTTTCTTGCTCTTTATCTCTTGCTTTTTCCCCCTTTATAACTGTTTTATCGATAATTGTATTGCTACGTGTTTCCTATTTCTTCCGAAGTTCAATAACTTTTATTTCGGGTGACATAAAATAAAAAACCGGATAAGAAGCAAAAAGACAAGATGTAAAAAATAGCAAAAAACAAGAAACAGAAAACAAAAAGCTCATTGTAGAATAGACTTTAAAGAAGCAAAAATATAACGATATTATTGTAAAATACACAACGTATAAACAATTGCAGAATATTATCTTAATATTAATCTCGGTAATATTATTATTAAATACTATTGCGGAGTAAGAAATGTATATGATATTATCGCATAATAATTATATTAAATCGATATCCTTCCTCAAAGATTCCTTTTTCCACTTTAAGAAATTAGTAACTTAAAAGTATTCACTTAGAACGTGCAAAGAGAGATTTCTTTAATTAATTACTATCAATGTACTATCACACATCGTGAGACACCGACATAACTCGAGATCATTTATCAATCAACTCCCCTCTCGTATGAATTCTACATCCGCTATTTTTGTACATCATTAATCTGAGTTTTGTATATATTGTTAACTTAAGATAACTGACATAGCGATAGTATAACGTAGTCTGCGTTTAATTAATTTACAGTTTATCCATAACGACACGAATGACAGCATTAACAAATATACTCTTTATCGTCAGTATTACCTGCGTTTTTATTTCTATAAATTCTCGAAATAATAACAATATATATACGTACTTATATAAGTTTCAAAAGCATATCTTTGAAAATTTAAGAAGAGCTAAGTGTAACAGAGTAAGTGTGATCTAGTTTTAATCTGGACATCGATGAAATTACGTTGTTGCTTATGAGGAAGACATTACCGTTTTGTCGCAGCACAAGCATTCACGTTGAATCGAAAGTGTCTCAAAATAGCATATGCTGAAATAGCCGCGCCCAGTTTTCGCTTGTCAGACACGCCATCAGAAACTAGTAACTTCGAGACATCGTTCGGGATTACAAAGTGCGTTCTCCAATTAGTGATTCTAATTAATTTCACATTATCTCTATGCGTGACTTTGTCGAGAAATTAATTCGAGAATTGATAAGTGAGAAATTAATAAAGATTCGACGGAGAAAAATATAAAAGTGTATATTAATAAAAAATATAAAAGTATATATTATAAGTATTTAATAATAATTACTAAAATGATACTAAATTTTTAATTAATATTAGAAGAAATACTATTCATTTAATTTATTTGAATATTAGAAAATATGTGTTTCAACTAATAATTCTAATCAATTTTTGTTAAATATCTGCATATTTAATATATAAAGTGTAAATAAATAGATATTAAATCTATAATTAATACTCCTCTTCTTAATTTGATAAAAAATAAATATATATTAATATAAATTATATTATTATTTAAAATCATTTAAGTGCTCTGGTATCATTATGTCCAACGCATTTAATTTTTAATTGTCGTCACATATTAATATTAAAGAAAAATATTTAAAATATCATGTTGGGAAACGAGCCTGAAATCAGTGGATTTTTCCGTTCGAATTTATTAGCGGTAAGAAAAGCAATTTGCCAGCAAGATTTCAAAAAATTTTCCGCCCTCGAATCGGACGCTGAGAGGGTGGCTTTTGTTTTGAGTTATACCGAAGCACATGAATTACCGCTGGAGGTAGAGAAGCCTATGGTCAAGGATCGTGACAGTGCCATTCGATTGAAAGACATCGGAAACAAATTTTTTGGTCGTGGTGAATTCACGAAGGCCTTGGAAACGTATTCGAATGCAGCTCTTTTAGCGCCATCAACAGGTAGACACGTGTAATATTCATTATGTTTAATTTGTATCTATATAATTATGTTTACGTAATTTAATATCTGCAATTAATATTTGTAATTAATACAATATTATATAATATAATAATTTAACAAGAAAATAAAATAATATTCCGGATTATATAATAGGCTTACTATATCAAAAAAATTACCGTCGTTTCTTCGTGTATTTCAATATAACTCATCTGAAAATCTTTATCGTAGTTATCTTGGCGTTATTTGATTAATAATTACATCGTTCTCATAATTATTGATCCTGGAAATATAAAATGTCCGAATGTTTAGAATTAAGTATAATTTTGGCGAATCGCTCGGCCACGTTGTACCACCTGGAGCGTCATGAATATGCGTTGGCGGACATCGAAGAAGCCTCACTACTCGGTTACTCGAAGGATCTTATATATAAACTTGAAGAGCGACGAGCTAGGTGTTTATTGGGTCTAAAAAGGCATGATGAGGCAATCGAGGCATTTAGGCGGGCTCTCCAAGCCTTGGATGATGCCAGAATACCCTTGAAACGTAGGCAGAAGTTCGAGGCGGACATCAGGATGATGCTCGCGGTGATGGATAAAGGTAAACGACTCAACGAAGCCGCTACGAAGAATCCTTCGCGAGTTCATAGCAAGCAAAAGTCCAACGTGCGTTTGGAGGATAAACTTATCCCCAAGAAGGAGAGGAATCCCGTATATCCCGCTTGCAGTAGAGCGGTGGAAATTAAGGATGATGGAGGTGACATAGGTAGACATGCCGTGGCGACCAGAAAGATAATACCCGGCGAAATCGTGATCGTTGAACGACCGCATTGTGCATTTCTGTTAGCAGAGACCAGGTAAATCGAAATATTATATTTTTTGAATTATATTTTTGGAAATCTATTTGGTACATTATCTCTTTTCAATGTAAAATCTTCATCCTTCGCCCGCAACCTGGGTTTTCGAACTTTAATACAAATTTTTATATTGTTCCGGAGAGAGAGACTGTATAAAAATAATCTGAAAAAATTCTTACATGCTTGAGAAAACTTTAACGAATTTTTACTGTCACAAAAGTTGGATCGTACTTCACTTATTTTTTACAGATTTAAATTTATCTACTAGAATTCACAATAAAAAATTAACTGTACCTTAATTTCAAGTCCAACATTGCCGGCAGAGAGTTATTAATACTTTTATTTATCACACTACTGTTGCTGGTGATTTTGCTATGATTTTCGATTCAGATCCTGCAGAATTAAAGATTTATGAATTCAAGATTTCATAGCTATCGTCAAGAATATAGTTCATCTCGGTTACGAAATCACGAAATCTTTTTTTTTATTTCGCTATCTTTGGCTCATCTTGTTTTTTTATTCTTTCTTTTCCCTCTGTTTATCGCAAATCGCGGTTGCGCGAAATTATGTCACGACTAAAATGTATACGACATTCGACTTTCAAGGCTCACACATTGCCACCTGTGCTTCATGAGGATATTCGTGCCAACGCCGGCGGCTTGTCGCACCTACAGCTGCGTCGCGTACTGCAGCCGCCGTTGCAGAGATGCGGATGCCCAAGTGCACTCGCAGGAGTGCAAATTGTTACCGGCCCTGTGGTACTCGAAAGCCTCGGTCACGTGTTTCCTGGCCCTAAGGACGATCACGCAGAGACCTTTCGAAGAAGTTATGAAGCTCAAGGAACAGTTTAGAGATCCCGGAAGTGCGTTAAAGATCTCCGCAGAAAATCCATATCGAGGAGACGATTACATAAATACCTTCTACAATTTAGGTAACTGAAAAAGTATAAATAATCGTTTTGGTTACATAAATATTTAATCTCATGGTTTTTTTACACGAGACTGTCGCTAGATTTTTATTTCCTTCGATTAATAAAATTATCAAGAACTTTTATTTTGAATTTTTTTTTTTAAATAATTGATTTTCTTCTCTTTTTTTATTAATGAATTCAAATTTATAAATTATTTTCTTTTTTCGAATATTTTATGTTTTATGTATATCAATAGTTACTCATGAAGACAGAAGATTGCCAGAGGATATTTTCCACAGGGCCTATATGGCAACCTGGTTATTCAGATTGTTAAGATCCAGCAACTACTTGCCGGAAAATGTGAAAACCGCCGATTCAGCGGACAGTAGATTGTCAGATGAGGAATTGTTTATCGCAGGATTGCTTTTACACAATTTACAATTATTGCAATTCAACTCGCATGAAGTAAGAACGACACATAATGTAACGTTACAATTCGCTCGATTGTATTTCATTATTATTGCTTTGAAAACGAGCATTATTGTATTTGTCCGAATCACTGCATCGTTCGTTTTCTAGATTTCAGAACTGGTAAGGCTAAAAGGACAAAAGACACTTACTAAAACCAAAAGTGTATTCATAGGCGGTGGTGTTTATCCTACGGTTGCAATGCTAAATCACTCGTGCAATCCTGGCGTAATTCGGTAAATAATAATAAATTTTATTTACTGTCGTTAAACTATTATTAACTAATAGATTTTTAAACTAAAAAATGTAACTCGAGGTATTTCATCGGTACCACAATGATTGTTCGCGCTGTTCGCACAATCAATGCAGGTGAAGAGATTTCTGAAAACTATGGTCCTATCTTCACGACGACACCCGAGAGTGAGCGAAAAAGAAAATTAAGAGTGCAATATTGGTTCGATTGTAATTGCGAGGCGTGCTCGGGACATTGGCCGCTTCTAGATGAATTGGATCCAACAATACTCAGGTATAATCTATCGATTTTCAAAAATGTTAATATTAATTTAGAGTATACATATAATTGACATTGTGATTATTTATAATAAGATTATAATGAAAATATTAACTTGCATCAATTGTTAATATTACTTATTCTCATTATTTAATAATTAAATAAAAAATTGCTAACATGTACAAATATGAAAAAAATTTTTAAGAGTAATATAAAAAATATTAAACACTCAAATCATCTACTCTATCTTATTGAAAACACATTAATTTACTCCACATCGCTTTGTTCTTCCAGATTTAAATGTGAGACTGGATCGTCTTGTGGTAACGTATTAATGGTCAAAAGCGACACGAATGAGTTCATGATCGGATGTGCGAAGTGTGGCAAAAGTATGAACATCCTGAAGGGCTTGAAAGCTCTACAGGATACGGACGCACTTTTCAAAGTCGCGTCGACGAATCTCGAAGAAGGCCGAAATGAGCATGCACTAAAAGCATATTTTGAGATTTTGAAGTTACTGGACGAGACTCTAGCATTGCCCATAAGAGATTATCACATCTGTCAGCAGGGAGTCAGATTATGCTCTCTTGCCTTAGGCAATACAGCTTATATCTAGTCTCGTCATAAAACTATAAAAAAATTTATACAACTTTACGTAGAATCTTTCTATTGTAAAATAAAAAGGCGCAAACTTCTTTCGCGGTTAAATATAACAAATTCGATTAATATCTTAAGTTATTGTCTTAATTCTTTCATCAGAATGTTTACAAAGATATCGAGAACCTTATCGAATCAAAAATATAAAACAATTTTCTTTTAAAATCTTTCCTTAAAAATAATCAAACTTGCATCACAATAATTTTTTGTGTGCACGCATCATATACATTCACATACACAAATACATATTTATATTTATGTATTTAACTTTTGTAATACTCACTTGTTTTTTTATTATTATTATTATTCATTACTGACGTGAAGAAAGAAGACAGTCGTGCAAATTTCTTGTCATGTTCGCATTACACAGAAAAAAGTCAATTTGGCTGAAAATTTCACACATTTATTTATTATCATTCACAAACTTCTTTGTCTTGTCAAATTTAAATACAAAGTCAAGTACAAAGTAAACAAAACAATTTTTGCTCTCTTTCCGTCTTTCCTTCAAATATAAGTATTATCTAATCAGTATCAATTTATTTTATGTTGGAAATGTAACGTGGTTGGAAATTAATGGAAAATATCTAATCAATATCCATTAATAACCATTAATTAATGATAATAACACTAAAAAACACACAATTTTGCAAGACGAGTGTGAATAATCATTTCCGACGTATTTTTACATGCTAAATCCATTGGCAAAAATTGGCTATCAAGTTAAGGTTTTGAGTTGCTTGCACTTTTTGCATTCAGCATCTGTGCTTTCTCTCTTTTCTATGTCCGAATATATTTATCAAGTGCAAGAATTGTTAGAGTTCAAGGTTAGTAAAAAACATGTTTTAAACGTTTTAAAGTTTAAAACATATTTGATTGACGTTTTTAATATGTTTTAAATATATTCTTTTATAGTACTGTTTAAAAAGTATATTTGAAGTATTAAAAACATATTTAGAAGAAATGTTTTATTAAAAAAAAAAAAAAAAATTAGTCTTTACTAATCCTATTAGAGATTTCAAGCAATTTAAAGCAACACGAAGAAATCTTTGGTGATAAAACTTTTGCTAACAGACTTATGTTCAGCAGACAAAAGATGACTATTGACACTCGTGTAGCAAAGAAAAAAAGATTAAATTTTGTTCCACAATGTATCCATCAAATGTCTTTTAATTAAATTTTTTTGTAATGTTTTATTATTTTTGTTTTTAAGTAGTATATCTTGATAACGTTAATTAGACAAATAGGCATACAATTATTCACCTAGTCATATAATATGCTAATATACTGTGCATAATATATTATGTATGTGTCTACTATAGTCGTGAAACTTGGAGACTGTAGCTTATAAACTAAATATGTGATTTACGAAATTGATCAAATGTCTGTTGGTCTACTTTTCGTCGCATTTTTATAATTGCTCAATTTCAAACGCGAGCGTGTAGTATGTATGTGTGATTAACAATCCATTTTTATTATGTACATACAAAAATTTCTCATTTTATCTTTTTTTTCTTTCTGCCTTCCCTCCAGCACATAAAGTCGATCCGCTTTTTCTCTCTCTTTCTCTTTCTATCTACTTCTCTTTCTCTCTTGAACTTTTAGCATCTAACTGCAATTAGATAAAGAATACAAAGCTTAGATAAAAGAGTGTATCGTGGTGTAAACACATTTTTCTCTTTTTTTGTTGCTATCGCAAAAGAGGATGTCTCTTTCGCGATGAATTCTTATGGCACGCGGAATTCTTGTTGTATCATAATGGAGAGGATTTTTTAAAATCTTCTAATCATACCAAATGCGTTAAGTGTCTTCGTTGTCTTTATTGTTACTTTTTTTTTATTTTTAATGAAAATTTTGCTCTTTTTTTTTTTTCTTTTAATTAGCAATATATTAATACCGTCTGTCACGGGAATCCGAACGTGAGCGGCGATCTCGGCTGCGGCTCCGGGTCAATGATCTTCTACGGGGACTGCGTGATCTCGATCTAAAAAATTAAACGCAGTTTGACATCATTTTCATTTTGACATAGCAGACGAAATTATTAGAACGCATTACGTTCCACTCCATTACAAATTTTGCAAATAAATAATATTGTAATTATTGACACCGTTTATCTTAAATTATCAATTAATGTTATTTGTCAAAAATAATATTAATTATTATTACGATAAACAAACGACTATTTAGTACAATTAATTGCTAAAATAATATTTGTTAATTTAGTTATTACTTTCAAATAATTTTTTACCACAACTATTACTCTTTTAGAGGATCATTCATTTATTAATAGACGTGTGTGTTAAATTTATATCTTAATTTTTTATTCTCAAATTTTAAATTACTAAAAAATAAATGTAGATTGCTAATTTAATGATTCTTACAGTAATCATGTACTAATTTTTAAATATTTGTGCAATTTTCTTTACTTTTCAGTGATCACCTATTTATCATTATAAGAAAATACTTGTAAAATTATGACGTCAAATTCTGTTCAAAATAGAGTGAAGCGGTGCGATGGAACACAGATACGAAAAATCATCGCAAGGCAACTGTAAGAGAATTAGGAGAATTATTTAGTTCCTATTTTACCTAAAGATGATGTATAAAAATTATATAGTTAGACACGATTAATAATGAATTAATACAAAATGATGTCTCACCAATCAAATGCGAAAACAAAAAAGTAAAGGATTAATTTTAGTAGTAAAATCATTAAATTTTATCCATAAATGTTATATCTCGATGTATATCGATTTTATTTATATTATGTGTATTGGCTGGGAGTTCTCTGATTCGATTAAACATCTGTTCGTTTATAAAAATTCGATTAAAAACAATTTCATTCATTAAATAATTGTCTTCGAGATTTTTATTTATACAGTCCCGACAAAACGCATTAATTGTTCATAGAATCAGTCAAAACTCCTCACCGAAACGATCACAAATTTGAAATAAGAATTGTAACAAAGTAAAAAAGAGATATATATATAAAATGAAAAATAGAGATAGAGATAAAAAATCTTTGAAAATCGGTGAAATACCAATGTGAACATGTACAGGTGGTTGGTTGGTGGGTGGTGGTGGGATGGTGTGTAGTAGGTGATCATTTCGCTTATTTTGCGTGATCATTTCATTCGAGGAGTCGAAGGTCGAGAAGATCTCTCGGCGGCAACTCTCACGCGTTCAGTTGTTGTTGCGGATAACACACGTTCCTAAGTGATGTCGACGAGTAGTGGCAGTAGCAGTAGTGGTAGAAGTAGCAGTAGCAGTAATACTAGTAGTAGTGGCAGAATAGAAACGTCGGTCTCGAAACGACGAACAGTCGGGAAGACAGTCGATCGTAGTCAAATGGAGAGACGCGCCGATGGTCAGAATTACTGTATGACGATTTCTTTTATTATTTTTTTTTAATAATTTGCATCGCGATTGGTGGTGGTCACAAACTGGTGGTGGTGGCCAGTTGTGGGTGACATTTTTTTCTTACGGTGGCAAATTTTGTTTTTGGCGATTGATTCGATGTGTGCTGCCGTCCCCCTAAAGCTGAGACGAAGAGTCGAAGAAGGTGGATCACAACACCCGGTTGATTGGTCGGTTGGTGGTTGGTGGTTGGTGGTGGTGATGGTGGTGGTGGTTGGTGGAAGAGTAGTAGTAGTAGTAGTAGTAGTAGTAGTAATAGTAGTAGTGGTGATCGAAGGGGAGAGTCCCGCAGTGGAGCGATGGACAATGTTTTTTTTCGGTTCAAGACGGTTTTTTTGCGGTGCACGATGGCGGACGGGGGAAGGGGGACAGCAACGGAAAAAAAAGCAATGTTTTCTTTTTTCTTTTTTTTTCCGAAGGTGGTAGTCTCGGGCATTGGCGATACTCCGGCAGCGGTGACGGCACACGGAAACTGTTGTTTTCGGTTGTTGCGCCGTTGTGTGCTGTGTGCACGTCGCAACACCACAACGCACAACATCGACGGGCGACGTGACGTGACGTGACAGACGTACGGACGGCTTCCTATATACTCGGTGACTTGGTGGTGACTGATGGTGACTTGGTTGGGAAGTTAGTGGGCAGGCAGGCATATTTTTTGTTCAGTTTTGTTCGATTGACGATTGCGAGACTGACGATTTGCTTTTTTTTGTTCGCGTAATAATACGCTTTTTCACGGCGGCTGTAGAAGTAGTAGTAGCAGTAGTAGTAGTAGTAGAAGTAGTGGTAGTAGTAGTGGCGGGGAGACGAGCAGAGCTAGGAGCTGACGCTGGTAGAATCTGCAAACGTCAGTTTTAGCAATATAATCATCAACGTTATCATACTCCTGGCCACTATCGCGTATTTTTTACGTTTCAATTTCTTTTTTTTTCTTTCACGAACTTTCGTCATTTCGGGAGAAAAAAAAAGAGAATTTCCGAATCGAGAACGAAATTTACAATTGCACGCGCGCTCGCTTCTCGCCGTTTTCATCGATCTATTCTCGTATTCTCGTTTATCCTAGACTGCCCACTCGAGTACGTACGAGAAAAAAAAAAGAAAAAAAGAAGGGAGGACCTCTCTGTGCTCCGTGCTGATCGACTCGAATATCTAGATATGTGATGGATGTATATACCGCTTCCGTACGCACCACGTTCTCGTCGCGACGCATCAAGCATATATATATTCATCAAAATGAATTGATAAACACTGTAGGTTCAGATCACACAGATTTACTTCCATACGCTTGAATCATCTGCGTGCTTCATCCATGCCACGGTGCGTGTGCGATGAGAAGTGATGAAAGCAGTGTTCGTCTCAACTTCCTTCAAGTTTCAACAAGCAACAAAATATATTTATACCTGAGAAATTAAGATATTAACCATTCTCAACAGAATAACAATAATAAATTTCCTGATCTCTAATCTTACGTTAACGTAAGATTAAAGAATTTATTCAAATTAATTCAATCATTAATCTAGAATTTATATTATACTTTTTGCCAATAAGGAATTATTATTCGCTATTGTTAATACTAGAAACAAATCTATCTTTACAATTCTAGTAACCCTCTATCTATATAAAGTTATTAAAAAGGTGCAAACTTTATACAGTTATATATTCAATTTTACTTCCTTTATGATTTGCGATTTTAGACACCGAGAAGATCTCCCATTTTGAAGTAAAAAGTAAAATCGACAATGGCACGATACGAAAGCACATGCGAAATGCCGAAGTGAAGTTTTGTTGTTTCCGTTGCTACCACGCATTTCTGAAATTCACTGAGCCTGTTTCTATTTGTTATCACATTATTTCTATTTAATTCCTTCTCATTTTCGTCTACCATCGTACAGTTCGTTCAGTCTTGTTCTCCCACTTTTAATTCGATTGCCGATCAAGTACTATTTTTTTCTTTTTTTTTACTGCCGCTCGAGCACCCACGATTGGCCGAAATCGTGATCAACTACTCTCTAAGACGTCCTCAGTTTTCCAATTATAAATTTCGACCGCTTACACAGAGAACGGTGACAAAGCAAATAGCGAAATCGATTTCTAAGTGAAAATTTTATTAAGTTAAATGCAAATTTCTATTTTTTTCGTTAATTTTACCGATTAACTCGATTCCATCATCGTTCTCCGCCTTAAATGCCTCTAGTGAGTATGACTACTATTTCGTGACAAATAATGCGTGCAATATGTATACTACACTGCAAGCAATAGTGTATACCTACTGATCACTACTCCGTTTTGCCAGGATTCTGAAAATCAGTTTCTGAAAACTTTTGCGAAGCGAAATACAAAACAGTTTGTCGAACGAGTAAAAAAAGAGAGAATTTATTACCTGGAGTAATGGCTTATCGATGCTTTCCGCGGACTTCTCGAACAGGATCTACAAAAGATTAAGAATAACTAATGTATGTCTGCCAAGTGTGTTGCCGGTGATCGCTTCGCGTTATGCTTTGAGAGATTTTCATTTGTCTTAGCACCTGAAAATTGCGGTAGACCGCAAAATGGGACAGAGAAAAAGAAACGAGATAGATTTATATAGATTTATGTGTAAAGAAGAGGAAACTAAGAGGAGCAGGAAAATCTTACCTCGGGTAACGACCAAGGGATTTCCTACGAGGGCTGCGCGACCTGGACCTACAAATTTGTTAAAAAAAAAAAAAAGATATATCGTACGTAAATCCGATTGCTAAAGCATGTAGACGAGAGCGTTACAATGGGAAAAGAGAAATATAGAGCAGAAAAGATAAAAAGATATGAGTGGTGATACCCAAGACAATCGAGTACGAATTATAAGATAAAAAGATTATAAGAAATCTTTAAAAAAAATGATTCAGTATACATAAGGGGATAATATATGTTTCATATACGTGATATCATCTATATAAACAAGTGAGAGAAAAATTGCTGATAATTTAATTTATTTAACTTTTATTTCATTATTAAAAAAGATTAAAATAATTTTGTTAGAAGTTTATAGACTTAGATTTTAAAAAATTTGATAAAAAATGAATATTTTATTATTATATATCTTTCTTTTACTTATTTAAAAATAAATCTGATTCATAATGTTGTCTCTAGAATACTTTAAAATTTGTATTTTGATTTAATTTATTAATCATTAATATTTAAATTCTTTAAATTGCGCCAAAAAGCTAATTCCTGATATGATAATTGAAAACAATATTAATTGTGCTTGACACACTTCATTAATTTTTAAGAGTAACAAAACACAAATAAGACTTATTCCTCATAATCTTTTCCTTAATACATAGGAATTAAAACTTTTATACATACATATATATATATATATATATATATATACATATAATGATGCGAATTTCCCTGTCCACGCGAACATGCAATATGGATTTAGCCGCGCTCTGGCTAATCCTCGGAATTAACCTTTCACCATATTCATGCAGACTTAGTATCTATAGTAGTGTAATCTCTACAAGAGGCATTGTGCGGCTTAAATTAAATTTGAACAATCGGCAATCTCAAACTGCGAACTCACGATCGTAAACGAGAAGGAGGATTAGCCAGTTACACGACACAGAGAAAGAAAAAAAAGCACGATGTATAAAATATATATATAAATATGCAAACTAGATGTAATATATATATGTATATTGTGTATATATATATATATATATAAGATATTCCTAATAGAGACATAAAAAAGGGACAATATCGATTCTCGCGGTGATGATGTGCACGAAAAAGTATTCACTGGGATGAAACATAAGACTCGTGCATTGTTCATTTTGGTGACAAGAGCGCACTCTTGCTCTGAGAGCAAGAGAGAAACTTTTCTACACCATGAATACCTACGTTGGCGAGGAACACTTAGCCGCGTCACAGCTCTAACACTTGTTTTCGCTGTAAAGTGCGCGGTTGCTGCGAAATGCTATGTAACCTCTTACCTAGAATAACGAGGACCAGGTCTGCGACCGCCACCACCACGGCGACTTCTCCCAGAGGACATCTCGACTCTCACTCTGGTGCCACAACATCGTCTGAAAGATGGAAAGTATGTCACTTGATATACCCTCAATTATAATATAGTAATCTTGTGTGCTAAATTAAACTATTTTTTCTCCTTTTGAACAAAAATCAAAAAAGATCAATTTTAAAAATAATTACAATAGTATTACAATATAAGTATTTGATACTCAATAATCATATTAAATAATCTTTCAAAATAATAAATAATTGAACAACTTTCTCCGTACTATTTATAAATTTGCTTATATATGCTCTAATACTAATAAGTTAAAGACTCATTATTACTAGAAAACTATGAAGCTTAGACTTCTATTCTGGAACTTTCGTAAACATAAAGTTCTTTCATTTTCAAAGAAATGTGGTTTTTTTACACGATGTTATACAATAACAATGGAAATAGTTGGTTACTCTTTCATTAAAATGGCTAATATAACTCTCGCGCTTGGTTTTCAAAAATCTAAATTTGAAGTATATTTTTCAAAGCTACAGACAAGTTTCTCATTATTGCATTGTATGTTGATAATTTTTTGATATTTTCTAATGATAGCTCTGAAAGTTGAAAAAATTGATAAGAAATTTTGAAATCAAAGATTTGGGACAAGCCAAAAGATACTTAGGATTAAACATTGAAAAAAATCAAAATGTGATAAGCGTGGATCAGAAAGATTATATTTTAGAGCTACTTTTAAAATTTATGGTATGTATGCAGAAGCGAAATCATCTTCAACTCCTATGGAAGTAAATGTAAAGTTAAATTGACAAAGCACACAAATATTGATGTGCTCTATCAGCAATTAATAAAAGCTTTAATGTATTTAGCTGTAAATTCAAGATATTGCTTATTATGTAAAATTCATTTTTTAAGTCAGTTCAATGTTGCTCATACTGATCAGGGCACCTATCGGAATGGATTCCGATCGGAATTATTCAATTGTTATTGTGTTTTTTGGGGAAAAAGGAATAATTCCGATCATAATCCATTCAGACTTCGTTTCATGATAGATGCCCAGCACTGGAAAGCAGCAAAAAGAATTTAAAAGATATCATTGATTATTGTCTAACATACAAAAGAACGAATGATATGCACATTACAGGCTTTGCAAATGCTGATTGGGTGAATGATTCTAATGATCGAAAATCTTACAGTGAAGTGGTTTCGTCTTCATGTTAGCAAATAGACCCATATCTTGGGAAACTCATAAACAGCGCATGGTAGCGCTTTCTAGTATGGAGGCAGAATATGTCGCTATTTCTGAGTCAGCCAAAGAGGCAATTCATTTACAAAGTTTGTTAAATAAATTAACAAATTATAACAAGTCTACAGTCATTTTTAATGATAATCAAAGCGCTCAGAGCCCTCAGAGGTTAGCATCTAATCCAATTTTTCATAATAAAACTAAACACATAAATGTTAAATATCATTTTATCAGAGAAGCTATTGAAAATAAACAAATAATACTTATACAATATGAATCTATTGATAGAATGATAGCAGATATTTTTACGAAATCGTTATGCCAAACATCTTTTTTGTCTCAAAGGTTTAGGTTTAGAAGTTGGGTACAATCGATAAAACATTATTTATTTTTACTCACTAGATTAAGGAGGAGTGTTATTAATATGAATAATCTAGTGAGTTCATGCAAATGTCGTGACTGTGTGAGAGCGCTGGAAGGAGCATGCGTGTGGTGCGTGATTAGCACGAAGTACGATGTTAATGTTTTGTTAGTTGCCAAGTTATTCTCTCTTTTATTATACTTTCGCTGTTTGCCTCTGATGTTTAACAGTTCGTTGTAGTAAAGTTATCTTCCAAAAAGTCTTGACTCGAATATAAAAGTATCAATCAGTAATTTACAATAATTTTTATAAATAAATTTCTAATTTGTCATTTTCGTAGAAACTATATATACCTTTAACAATATGATCTATAACGTAATCTTTAGAATGCTTTGAAAGGACCCCGCAAACCTTATGGAAATTTATTTTCGGTCGAATTGGCTAAAAATTTGATATATTGTAGATCTTATCGTCCTGATAATAAATCTCTACAGGCACGACATCCTACAATGAACCGTTTGGCCTCTACGAGGCGTCATTTTTCAAAACGGGTCAATACTTCAATATCTTATTTTCAACGAGTATGGTGCATTCCTACGTCATTATTTGCACTTTCTATATATACTTTTAAATACTGTGGAGAATTTTTATCAGGACGACAAGATCTACAATATATCAAATTTTCGGCCAATTCGACCAAAATTCAATTTCCATAAGGTTTATGCAGGGTTCTTTGTATGTTGATATATAAAGATGGATTGCATATATGAGAATTAATTCTTCTTAAACTTACGTTCCATCCAATCCTCTTACGGCGTCTTCAGCGTCTCGTGGATCCTCAAACTCCACAAATGCGAAACCAGGAGGATTTCGAGCTACCCACACATTTCTTAGTGGACCATACTTACTGAATGCGCTTTCAATTTCATGTTTGCTAGCGCTGCTGCCTAAATTACCAACATAAACCTTGCAAGATAGATCCCATTCGCGATACCGAGACATTTTTCAACCTGAAAACAAACGTATTATAAATAACACAATTTGAAGATTTATTCGATATTTCGAACATATAGATTAAAAGTCAATTCGAACAATGTAGAAAGTGTCCCCAATATCTATCTGTCTGTTCGAAATTTATCTATGCACTTGCGTTAGATAAAAATTGTGTGTTCTGACTGTACGAAAATCTGAAAAAAAAGCTTGCATATTTGTAAAAGCTTGAACAAGTTTTTAGAAGATGGATTTAATTTTTTACAAATTTAAATTCATCTACCAAAATTCCGAGTAAAAAATCAACTCTGCCTTTAAAGTCCAATATTGCTAACTGAACGTAAAGACCAAAGCACAGATGTTTACATAATGCATGAAGCATAAGAAGTCAATCGGACTTTTATTTTGTGGAAAGGAAATAAAGGATTTTGATTAGTTTTCATTTTCTTATGTATTATGCCTTTTACGTTATACAAGAGGTCTGTTTTTTTATTGCTGCACTTTCTAAACACACAGTGCATTAAGTTGAAATGAAACAAATATACGTTTATTTCACTTCAACTTATTGCACCGGTTCAGAGTGCAGCAATAAAGAACAGACCTAAGATTTTGTGCTGTCGTCCCTAAAGTTATGACACTTTCAGTGTTTAATATATTCTATGTTCTAAGATTCGATACAATGCGAATATAATATAATAAATGTAAGAAGTGAGATCCAGTTTGCATATTTTTAATACGTGTGTATAAATAAATTTGCAATAAGTGAATAAAAAGCAAAATAAAGTTGAATTACTTATAAATGAAATCGAGGCGAGATTTACAAATTAATAGCACTATTATCATCGAGCCTAACATCTACTCTTCAACATGTTCATCATTATAACCATGTAATTTTTAATGTTTGACAATGTATTAAATATATAAATTACATATCAATATCAATTATGGGGTAGCACCCAGTTGGACACGAGCCACTCACAGCGTTTGAGACTACAAGCTCCTAAGCATCGGTCGCTGTGATTTGTGGTGTCCAATCGAGACGTCAATCGGGATCACCCCCAATTATGTCAGTTTCATGCCTATTTCCATCAATATAATTTAATTTTAATCTTGGTTCAACTAACTCTTTCTCTAGTTCTAAGAATTAAAAAAGTGAAGAATAAATTGAATCAAGATTAAAGTTTATCTACATTGGTAATAAGAAATGGACATCAGTGCAGAAAGAAAGCATTAAGTTTTAATCTCCGTTCAATTTGCTCTTCATGTTTTTCTAATTCTTAGAACTAAAAAAGGGATGAAGAGTTGGTTGTTAATCGAGATAAAAATTAAAGGTCTATTTTTGCTTAAACTAGTATACACTTTTGAGATTAAAGTAAAATAGATATAGTTTGATATATTTAGCAAAAGTGAGAAAGAAAGGCTGAATTCAGCAGAAAAAGGAATTTTGCGGCTGTTATAAAATTCTTAATGTGATTAGTCTTTAACGTGCCCCTAGTTCTTCACTGGATCTAAATGTATAAACAAATCATATTCAAGAATTTTACAACTGTTGCAAAGATGCTTTTTCTACTAAACGCAGCTAATATTTTAGTGCAGTTTAGTGCAGGAATCAAAAACAGCCTTTATCTACATTGGTATAGAAATATTAATCCCAAGATAGATCATCTCGTCTTTTCTCCTCGCCTTTCGATCCATCATAAAAATTTCGCGATATATCGCCAAAAGCTTTTCACCCCGGCTTCCCGCCAGCGAGCAAGCGTCTCTGGTTGATCACTTTCATCCGGAATCTCCCAACAAACATCAAGTGGTCGAACGAAATCTCAACAGCGCTCTGCATTATCTGCATAACGAATTGACGATCAAGATTTCACACTTACCTATGAGAGTGTTCTACTAGAACTGCTAGAACTGCTTAAAAATCGCTTGCGATTGGAGTCAGATCCACGACACAACTACACTGAACATAAAATGGCGTCGATTTTAGTCTATTTGGCATCGACCTGTTCAGCGAGTTCAGCCCACTCTTCCATCATCGTCAGTTTTCTATCAACAGTGCTGCCACCGGCATCATCATGTACTCCGCAGTTCAAGTGTAGGTTTAATACTGCAATTTTCACGAGAATTGTTTTCTAATTGTTGACGTTTCTAAGTCAATGATCAGTCTTAATTGTTATTCGATGACAAATTATTTTCCTGATTAATTTATCAATCGAATTTTAATTGCGACAAAATTTTGCTAAATTTTGCAAGTCGAATGTTGACGTAACACGCGACTCATGTGACGGAAGTGGATTATGGAAAGGATTTTTTATTATTATTTCTACGTATATATATATATATATATAATTAATTAATGCATATAAATAAATAATACGTTCATCGTTAACTAAAAAGCTTGAGCGAGATGATTGTATGTTTTTAATTTGCGATTTGAAATTCAACGCTTATATTTGACAGAGTATATCAGAATGTGTCGCGTAATATGATCTTTTTTTTAATTGTAATAAATATCAGCATTCATGGAAGACGCTATATTTAGAATTTCGGGGAAATAAAATTGAAAAAGATCATATCGACGATGTAATTTTAATGGAAAATAAGTAATAAGTAGACTGTGAATATTTATGCAAAGTACTTAATTAACTGAATATTTTGCATAAAATGCATATTTTGTATAAATTGCATATTTACAGATGACAATCTCAACCTTTTTATTTTAATTAGGAAAAGTGATGTAAACGGCTGATAAGAGTCAAAAAAGTTTTCCGTTTCTCCGTTTTAATATTCATCTAACTACATAATGAAACAATCGCTTTCTTATTATTTTATATTGTACGTTAATTTATACTTCGCCGGAATGTTATATATCTGTTATATATATATTCACATCCTATTGATTGACCAAGGATGCGGTCGAGTTGCCAGTACAACGAGTTGCTTCGAAGTATTCGATTAATCAATCGGAAGAAAGAATTTTACTAATTGACCAATCAAAGAATGCTTCGAAGCATTCATAGCGGCAACTCGCTCGCACCCATATTGTTATTTTCTGTAAAGTGCATAGTTTCTTTCTTTCTCATTTTCTGAAAATTACAAATTTTGGATAAAACGCATTTTGAAAGTCTGCTTCTCATTTATAATTATGCTATAATTTAGCAATAAATTTGTTCGGCTTGTAGCCCTTTTTATCTGTTTTGTTAATATACGAACAATTTTTTCTACCTTTTTAAAAAATTACTACCGATAAACATATTTCGACGCACTACACGCAATGCCTTACATAAGAATGGGTTTTGCGATACAAAATCTCATAATTAATGACCTAATCTCTTATAATCAATTTTCTCCAATTGCACTAAAGGTCGTAGCTGTTCCGCAAATATCCTCATGTCTTCTGCTATGGCATCCTGTCCACTGGGAGCCAACACACTGAGCTCAACCAAATAACTCTGTGAAATCATTTCCGGCACGCCTTCTGGCACCTTACCCTGGTTCACCTTGAAGATCTTTGATACGGTGATTTTCATTCGTCCTTTGCGAAACATGTAGCCACGAGTAACATATTCGAAGTCCAGCTTGCAGCCCAACTCGGTAAGAAACTCCACTACAGTGTTACTTGTAGCGATGTCAATGCTACTGCGAACAATCGTAGGTCGAGATTTATCACCTAGTTCAGGTTGACCGATATATCGCAACTGCCATGGCATGTCTGCATTGCTCGCGTCCAGAGTACGTCGCACTCGCAGTAATAGCGGTTGTTCCTGCGGAGTACTTCTGAAAAGAAGTCAAACAAATACTTGCAACTCAATATGTAAATCAACTTTGATTACATTTTTCATAGATATATCTGTGTTTTTATAGATACATCTATAAAAATACAGAATTGGCATGAAAGAAATAATTTTACCTGCGGATGCTGAAACACATCTCATGGTCATAGAAGCCTTCAGGTCCATGATCAACATTGTCACACAAACCACGAAGTCTGTGCAGCAGTACTTCTACAGAGGTATCCAACACTGACCCCTGTAGTAAATACTCCTGATTGGGAATAATATTGGACTTGAGAGCAGCAGTTAAGCTGTCCATGGCAGTGCTGATCGGAGCAGTCATGTTGACTTCAATGAGGGGTAATAGACTCGGAACTGTTCGTGATAATGTAAACGAAACTAAAGAATCCCTGTTATAAATGGAAATTATTGATATATTACTCGATACCTCTCAAACAAAACTTCTACATAGTGTTCATTTACTATAAGCTACAATAATGAGTGCTTTCCAGCAAGGACACAGTCAGATACTGTGTAACACAGTGAATCGTTTCATCCTTGTTTAACATAGGCAAACAACAATGATTTACTGTGTTACACTGTGTCTGACTGTGTCCTTGCTGGAAAGCATCAAATGATATAACTCAAAAGTTGTAATTTTTTAGTTGTTTGCAAAAAATGATTTAAAAGATTTAAAAGAACTTTCATTCCTTTATAATCAGTTATTACACTAAAATTACATTTCAAAATTAAGGTTATATTCAAATAAGGTTAATTTCAAAATTTTAACAGTTCAAAACATTCAGATTTACTTTTTGGAAAATTTTGTTTTTTTGAGTTGTAGAAAATAAGCAATATGACTTTTTACATACCTCTGTTTTTATATATTATCTACAGCATGGAGTTGAAGTAGTTTAATCCTCTCGTAAATTCTTTTCTCTCGGAGGAAGTTCCCTATATTCCGTTCTCTACATTACGCTTAACCTCGGAGTAAACTATCAATTTGTGACTTTATAAATGTTCTAATTGATATAGAACAACTTTTTTTTATTTTAGTAAATTTAAATTATGTTCATTTTTTATAATTCTTATTCAATGTTTAAAAAAGAAGTAAAATATACCGGCTCGCATAAAGTAGCCACAGCAGTGTCGCTACGCTTGGCCAGAGAGAAACCCTCTGGCTTGGCTTAGTGATCACGCATGACGTAGCATCTTATCCTTGTTGTTCATCAAATATTAAAGAAGGATAAAATAATAGATCATAGGTCTGTCTTCTGTGACTGAACTAGTGTACACTTTTGGAACTTAAAGTGAGATAGATATATATATTTGATATTTATTTAAAGCGAGAGAGTTCTAGAACAGTCTAGTGCAGGAACAGAAAACAGACATGTGTGTGAAACGGAACCCTTTATTTCCATCTCTCCAACTTTTTTCGAATGAATCTCTAGCTCTCCAGCTAGGAGAGCATGTTTTATGAAAGTCTTAAATTATTCCAATAAAATTTATTATTTTAATAAAAATTAAATTGGGAAGAAAAAATTACTACGTTTTTCAAAGTATGGCTGCGTTCTAAATTTTATTCCACTTTAATAAGTTTTTATAAGACTTTAAATTACATGTTTACGTATCTAACATTCTTAAAGTAAATTTATTCTGGTAATTCGCATATTCCTTTATGCTAATCAGAGAAAGGAAATTCATCGATATATATATATATATACAAATTAACAAATTCGCAGTCTTCACACATAATAATAGTAATAGTTTTAACAATTGCACTAAATATGCAACAGCTCAAAGAGCCTCAGATACAAACGTAATAAAAAATACGATTCATCTCCTAATAAATTTAATTCGACGAATTTGTTATTGGCACGATCTTAGTTCCTTGTTAAAATAAAGATATAATAATGAACTGATCAAATGATCTATAAAAATTGACAGTCTCTTTTGGTAGAAATCTACAATCACTATGTATTATAGAAGCAAGAAATTTTTATTTCACAAAACTTACTATTCCGGTAAATTTATCAACGTCCAATAATGGCAATTATTAACGCATTCGTCGCGAATGAAATATTTCGGAATTTTAGATTATATATTCGATACATTTCATGGCTGCTATAAAATATCACCTAGAGACGCACGTTTCATAGTCGTATATTATAACAAAATTGAATTTTTAGTTTGATTTTTAATCTATCGAGCCTTATATTATTTCCTTATCGTTATAACAAAGTATTATCGCGCAACATCGAACGATATTAAACTTATTATGGAAAATTCGACAGTCTCTTATATTTCGCAAATCCTCTCCGTTCTTTCTAGCTGTGTTTCCTACAATTATTTTTAATTCCTTGCAATTCTATCTTTGTGTAAGATTTCCGTTGTATACATAATTGCTTTACTTTGAATGCAAAAAGCATAAGAGAGAAAGCATGGCTAAAAAGAGCGGTCCGATTATCAATCGACGCGTCATTTCGTAATTCCTATAGATAGCCTATCACTTCGAAAATTTGTTCCTAGCTAGGATAAACGCTATTGATGCGTTCATAGAAGAGTAGGTACGGACTGGCAAGCAGCACCTGCGTCAGTGACACGCTCTCAACAATGACGTCAGACGTGTACAACCATTGATCCGCTTTATTTCCGCGTCTGAAGCAAACGAAATGGCCGGAGTCCACTGGGCCGCGGTGTTCAATTACCGCGCACAACCGATACTTGTGTTTACCCTGTATCGTTATGAAACTGTTACCAAGAAACTTTGCGTCACCCTATAAATGAAGAGATTCCAGTAAATTAATTGAACTGTGCCTGGCTAATCATAAGTTTAGATTAAAAGTTATAGGATTGTAAATTAAATATTTCTAAAAATTTTTCTTATTTTTTTATAAATTCACTATAAATCTATTTATAAATCACCTGCGCGCTTCTTTTTTTTGTCTCCGTATAAGTGTACGGATCTAGCACCAGAAATTCGGGGAACGTGATCTGATCATCCCTTTTAATTGGCATGCCTGAAGAGCTCCAAGTGGTCCTCGGAATATGCAAGCATAAACACTTGGGCAGTTTGCCGAGGGTGAGAGTCTTGATGGCGGTGCAACGCGACGAACATCCATCACATTGTACATCGCGCACAATTTCGCTGTCTACGAAACGTGACAGTAACCATTCCAAAGAGTGATGCTGTGGTACGAATGATGAAGTGAGCGGTGGTAATGGTAATGATAATGTCTCAAGCTTATCGTAACGTACTGAAGACTGAAAAAAGAAATGAGAATTAAGATTAAAATTTTGTATTATTAAAGACTTAACATTATTAAGGTTAGAATTTAAGATTACTAAAACTATAAATTATTTTAATAGGAAACGAGGAAAAGAAAATATTATTGATATTTGGATTAAAAAGATGTGTACAAATGAATTAATATTTGAAAAATTCGAACAAAGGAATTAATAACGAAAAAAATGGAATTATTTTCGTGACAATACCTTCCAGAAACAGTCGCTGCACTGAACTTGGCTAGTGATGAGGCCTGAGAACGGATGTGTCTCCACTGACATTGAAGGAATGTTAGTAAATGACATGGCGGCGCATAGAGACTTCCATGATCCGAAGAGGTTCGTGCAGTCGCCGTTGCCCTGAATGCTTCGCGATAGCAACTCTGAGGATCTAGCGAGGATCATACCGGGCCTGCACGTGCTTGGAGATGTACTGGATATGGACGATGTTGAGGTCATTATCTGATTGTTGCAGTTTTTGTCGAAGCCCTTTGGATTATCGGAATTATTCTCCACTGACGCTATGTCATTACAAGAGGCGCTTCTGAGATTCAGAGTATCGCCTGTTCCTCTTACGTCTGGATTTATAACTGGGCTTGGTGGCAGTGCATCGGACAAACAACCTTTCTGAAATCATGAATAAACTTTTCAATTAGTTACAAAGGTCTTAAAAAATCTTTTTTTTGCAACGGAAAGTTTCTGTTGCATACAATAATGACATATTGTATACCCTATTAGCAGGTTGCATTTCAGCATCTAACGCACTGAGAACCACGTGGAACAGCTCGTGAGCATCTTGATAACCGGGTCCAAAATTCCACAATGATCCAACGGAAGAGATGATTTCAACAGGTGTCACATTGCCATATAGGTCATCCGCAAAACCATTAATTTCTACCAAATATAGATTAGTACAATGTAAGATATAAAAGCATGAACATAGAAAATTTCAAAAATTTAATTTAAAAAATTCTATCATTTTAAACACTGATTCAAGATCTTGTCAAGCAACAAGAAAATTATTAAAAAAAAACTTATAAATTAATTTAATATTCACAGGGACTAAAAGTTGCAATTTTAAATCCACAATTAAACTACTAAAGATAATATTAAATCACAGCCATACTTTTGAGAACAGAAAGCAGTGTGTCAGCAAAGTTTCTATCCTTCTTTTCTTGTTGTTTCTGAAGCCAGAAAATAAATGAGGGGCAAGCAGCCAATGCTTGTAAAAGAGAATTCAGGAAACATGTGTATCCCAAATTGTTAATCCCAACAACTCGACCTAAAAGTACACAAAATAAAGTCACAATTAAACTAGAGAATTTATTTTCTATTAATCCTCTGAAGCTAATACCAAAATTTGTGACATAATTATTGACGTGAGTCTATAAGTATTAATGTGACTCATTTATGTTAATTAATAGACATTAATTAATTTCAAGAAACCAAAATGATAATTCAAATCAAAAAGAATAAATACCAAGTATATTTTATAACAATAATGATCCAAATTTGCAAATGTAACGTAAAGAAAATTGAACCGCTTGATATTTTTGTAGAAATTTATAAGTAAACGGGTTCAATAGATCCATCATCAGCTCCAAATGATTATAAATATGTAATATCTCTTGTGATTGAGATAAATAATTAAATAAAAAATGTATGTAAAATTATCAAGCATATATAAAACTAAAATCATAGTAATTGTGCTTTAATAATAAATCATTAACAGAATTAAACTTAACAAAAACACTCTAAAGAAATTATATATATCTGATCTATATAATACAATAAAAATGTACTTGTACATATATTATATTATTTTTTCCAACAGTAAAAGATATCGATAACAGCTATATTATTTTCTTTATACTTTCATTACACAAAAATAAAGCACAAGGATAAAAGGATAAAAGGACGTAGTCTCCCTAATAAACGTTCGATGAACGTAGCCCGAACGTTCACCTTTTTTCCTGGGTTTGGGCGACGGGCCCCACAGAACGAAAAGGCCGACGGCGATGGCGAAGCCCACGCCGGCAAACATTGCAATCTTCTCCACGTCCATCGCGCACCAAATCGATCAGGACTTTCCACCGACAATCCCTATGATGGAACGCTTTAACCTATGTTCCGGCTAATGCAACTCGTCCTTGACTTTCGTTCGGGCATACTTTCGCGACGATTAAGCCTTTCCCGAGGCGCACCGTAAACAACGAAACTGTCACGTGGTTGACAGGACCAAGTTTTAGTGAAAAATCGCGAAGGATAACTCTTCCGCACAGATCGCGATTGTCGCGAATCGGTCAAGTGCGCGAACTCGCTCGACTCGACGACTCGACGACACGAGCGAATTGGAGGTTATAGTCGATCGACGAGCGCATCGCGATGCGCAATAAACCGAATAAACGAATAAACACTGAACGAATCACATTCAATGAATTTGAAACGGCGAATTGCGGCCAATGGCTGCGTTCAGCGGACTCAACAGTTGAGTGAGCGCTCGCTGCTATTGATGTATTCTTCCAGATCTAAAATGCTGATTGGCTGATCCAAAAGAATACACCAATTAAAGGCTGTGGTCAAAGTCTCGTTACAAATGCTTTGAACTTTTGAAGCATTTGATGGATCAATTAGAAGAAAGAATTTTACAAACTGACTAATTAAAAAAAAATTCAAAGCGTTTGTAGCATCGCGTTGACCGTACCCAAAGTCACTAGATTAACAAAGTACCGCGATGAGAAAATTCACTGAATTAGCATTTGGAGCCAAAATGATGTTGAAGTGCTATCCTAAATCCTAACCTGATTCTGTTAAAAGGTCGGAAATCCATACAGAGGTCTGAAAGAAGAAGAAGAAGAACCTGATTCTGTTATTATCGAAAATGCCCGGTTACTGTGTTGAAAATTGCAAAAATCGCAGCGAAAGGGGCTGAAGTTTTGAATAACTGCGCATCATGGAGCCAAAATGGCGGCAGTTTGCGGTACTTTTAGGTTTGTTCGCGTCGCATGCTCCAACATGCTCCAATATGTTCCTGTCATAGCTCCTACCAGAGAGAAACCTGAGAGAGGATATAAGGGTCATTTTTTCCTGTAACCGCAAAATGCCCCCGCATATTACTGCCCCCTGAAGAAGTGGACGTAAACTACATAATAACATCCTTTCTTTTCATTGCTTCTGATGATAAATCGCTGAAATCGTTGAAATCTCTATAAATTTATTTCAGCGATTTCAGCTCTATTTACTTTCATCAGGAACACCTGATTTATTTCGTCTCATTAATTATTTTCACAGCATTTACTATGATATTTACAATAAATATTTCATTTAAATATTAAAAATAAATCTTATACATATTTGAAAATGCTTTCTAAATATTTTATAAATATTGTGATGTGTTGTCTGGGGCAGTATACGACTAGTAAAATCCGGAATCTTATAAATAATATTTGCAACAGTACAACTTGAAGATAATCTATATACAATAATATTATGGGCAATAATATAATATATCATGTGTGCAATGCGGCGTGTGTGCAAACGTGACTTTAGTTTATTAATTTTTTATTCGTGCGCAAAAAATACTTGTAGACAATCGAATTCTAAACAATAATACGTGTAGGCAATAATTCACGTAGGCAATAATGCATATAGGCAAAAGTAACTCCGTTTCTAAAATTTTTATTTGTGCGCAAAAGTGCATGTCTATTTAATTTAATTTATTCTTCTGTTTTTTCCAATTCAATAGAAAAAACGAACTATAATTAAGTAGCGTAAAAAAATCAACGTTATTTTTATTAAAACCATTAATATAACAATTTAACAAGTAAACTTGCTACAAGTGACACTACGTTGTTTATTTTTAATTATATTAGAAACTTTATAAATTTCTGCATTTATTCCGTCTAACGCGTTGAACATTAATGTCATGTCTGATGATAGAGCCATGTCATTAAATAACTTATGCAACTTCCTTGTACTTTGCAGCTAAGATAATCGATAAAAGTTGTTTCTTAATAGATGTAATATTAAATACAATAAAAAAATTGACATGTCAAATATTCAATAGGGAGATAAAAAATTTTTAAACCCTATCTATAAAATTATCAAATTCAGAATATTTTTTGCATACCTAACACTTCCTACTCTAATATTATGCGGTAATATTTTTAACATTTTTAAATATTTTATATTGTTTGGTGTGTATTAAGAATGTATTATATGTATTTTTTAACAAAATGAAAAAGTTATAAAACTAATATAATACAATATCTAAGCCACTCGGTAATTTTGATCGGTTAATTCCAATGAATTAATTATATTCGCAACATCACCGGTTACTGATGCCTTCAAATATTGAAATTTGTGAGATTGTTCAACGATTGATTGTCATCGCATTGAATATCTAGTGAAACGAAAACCACTCTTTGTATTTTCCGAAAAATTTTGGTAAATCTAATTTAGATAGCTGAACTTTACTTGCGGAATTTAATTCTGCGACAGGTGATATGACTGCCCTGACTGGTGTTGCCGTTGTGAACTAACGTTCACGTTATTTGACTGCGCGAATATTTGTCTTATTCGAGCAGCTAAGGCAAAAAATGCCCCTTAATTCGAATTGCACGCGATCAACTTGTTCATCCTCGCATAGCGCCTCTATTTCGAACTACACACTGTTATATTCCGACTAATTATTTGATAGTCTTTCTTTACGTTCTTCTAAATTTGCGATCACAATTCCGGTGTTATTAAATTGATAGAGTGTCTACATACGTTTTGATCCGTGTACATGTTTCCTTTTTTGCCGTGAACCTTCGTTCGAGCGCGATAATTTGAGCCAAATTGGCTGACGAAACCGATGCTTCCGGCGTCATATTGTAATATAATTGATTGATTGATAAATAATTAAGTGGACTCTCCTACTGTAACCGCCGATCGACTGTGAGATGGTTGCCTGTCGTCCTTCGCCAACGATTCTCAGCCTGCGGTAGGACCTCCTTCGCTCCTTCTCGTCACCGTGACTGTCCTCTCCTTGGAAGAACGTCGAGGTTACACTCGCCTTTTCCCTGCATGTTCCTTGACCTCGTAAGATGTTCATTGCGTCGTACCAAGGCTCCGCGATCAACTGCAGTTGCTCTGGATTCCTCGTAGTGGACGATTTTGATGCTCCAATAGGATAATTCAGGACCCTCAGCCTCAGGATTGCTGCCTCTTGTGGTCACTGACTTTATTGTCCAAAATCTCGACGAATCTGTACTCAAAGGACCAGAAAATGTTGAGTAATTGCGTGTAAATGACGGGAATTCCACGCCCAACGCAATCGAGGCAATGTGGCCTCTGTCTTTTAATTTAAATGAGCCGCGAATCTTTAAGAGCTTAGGTGATGATAATAACTTGTACTAGGTTGAACGAAACTTAAATATAATAAAGTAAATCAGAGAGAAATGTTAGGCGATATTTGGTATTAAACGGCTGAGTGAGAAGGCTCTCTCGATTGTACAACGAAAGTAACGAGAGTATGAAAAGTATTATTAGAGACATCAGGAAATCCGAATAGTTACGATTAACCCGGAACTTAAGAAACGTGACAACGGCGAATATAAATCAGCACGATTATATATTTCGATAATACGAAACATAGATAAAAATTAGATAGATTATGTCAATAAACTAATAATATTATAAACTATTATCATTAGTAAATTCTAATTTTCGTAATCAAACGCTTATTATTCAATCATTTTTCATCTTAATAGAAATTTGGATAATTGATTAATCTAAATTCATATATTAAAATTATATACAGTTATACAAAATTTCTTTGTTTTTATTAAAATATTAAATGAAGAAGTTATATTTATAATAATTTCTACTCATCTTTAGTTATTAATATTCGAGTTTTATTGTGTAAGAGCTGTTATTGCGTAACTACAAATAATAGTGGGCTATTTTAATTAATATTGTAAAACCCGTATGATTCTTTGGAATATACGTTTAAATTACCTTTCTTACATTTTGAATATTTAGTGTTTCGTATTTTTCATAATTGTGCGTAATTAATATGCGTAATAATTAACGAGCTAAAGTAATATTTTATAATTATTTAATAATATAAGTTTATATGTATAACATTCAACTATTTTACTGACTAATTATTAGACTGCGGAAGTTTATGCAAAATACTTAACTGAATGTTTTGCATAAAATACATATTATGTAATTTTGTAAATTTACAGATGGCAATCTCAATCTTTTTAATTCACCTTTTAATAACTCTTTAACGAACAACGATTGACTGCTAAAACTGTCCGATAGTTAATATTCAGTTAAGTATTTTGCATAAACTTCCGCAGTCTACTAATTATATATGTATAGGTATATTAACATGTTTTATAATCGCAAGAAAATATAATATATATATATATGAGAGAAATTAATAAAACTAAATCTATACAGGGTGTCCCATTTTAAATAGTGCATTAAGATTTCTCGAAAACTATGGTAGATACGGAAAAATGTTTCAAACAAAAGTTGTATG